TTTCAGTTCAATCGGCCCAGCAGAACTTGACTTTAAGTTTGAAATGTAAAATGTTAACGGACGACGGACGACGACGGACGAAAACGGATAGCAATAGGTCACTTGAGCTAAAGCTCAGGTGACCTAAAAATCAAATAATTGTTGAATTGTAATTTCTCGACTGTTTGACATTACTCCTAAGAAACTAAAAGAAACTTGCCTTCAAGATTATAAAGATTTCTTTTAGCACTGCTGTCATGAACTTTTTGCTTTTTTCATCTGTAAAATGTTGATCTTGGAACCACAGCAGACTCATCATCCACATATTTTTTCTTCACTCTTTTCACAGGTGCTGAAATACAAAGTATATACCATACAAATAAATGCAAAACTTGTTCCTAGCCCGAAGGAAACTATCAAAATAAGTGGGCATCTAAAATTTCACAAAATCATGTGGATCATACTAGTTATTAAAGGTTTCTGCTGTCACCTCGACATGATCGAGGAAGGGTCATTGATTGAAATCAGTGCATCATGTGTTTAATAAAGCTTAGGCCAAAAAATAAAATATGTGAGTTTACAGTCATCCGATCGATCCAAGAAATTCCGTATCTCTCTCTAGTGTCGAAATTTAGATCCAACATCCATTTCCCGCGTCACATGAACATTTGACAAAACACAAGATGTTCCACGGTTTCAGTAGAATTTCAAAGTGTAGTCCTAGTGATGGGAAAGGAATGATGCTACCGGTTGTAAATTCGACAAAATTTATTGACATTAAAGAAATTCCACGGTCAGACAGCAACACTGAGTTTGAAGTGAAGGGCAAACTTGCTGATATTTGTAAACATGAATGCATCAACATTTTTCATTGGCAACTTTTAAGCATAATCTAATCTTGTACCTGTATATCAATTTTAAGAAATGCCTGCTCACATGCAAACCATCTATTCATATATTATGTACATGTATAGCAATAAAAAGTTATTTAATTTCTAGCCTCTCTATTCGACACATATGCATCCATGAAAAAAAATTCAAAAATTAAATGTATTCATGTTTACACAAATAACATCAAGTATGTTCGCACTTTTAAAAGCAAGGACTGCAAATGTGATTGGACAGTTCCCCTTATTCCTAGCAGAAACATGTCACAGATGCAGATCCATCAGATCCATCAAGGCCGAATTAACTCCGCATTAAAAAATATCACAGTTTTCCTACTGTCTGCCAACTTAAGTTTTGATCGACGAAAAATCGCCGTTAAGTTTGCTGTGATGGCTCAATTTTTTTTTTACAATTCTTGTAAGACTCTCTTTGTCGTAATAGGAATTGAAGAAATATTCATTTTCTTCTTTGAGACTATTAAAAAAACGGCCGAAATGCGCAACGTCATTACGTTACTCTCTACTGTACTGTAATGTTTCGGCGCAAACCAAACTGGCAGAGATGAAATTGAAAGACGGAAGTCAGAACGTTTAGAAAATACACTTACTCAATCCATGTATCGAGTGCAGGTGAACTAACACTCGTTGCTTGGAAGATAGTTTGTTCTCACAGATCAAACACTTGAATTTTCCATCCACATCGATTCGAAAATTATCTTCTTTGGTTCCTAAACTTTCAGACTCCGACATCCTAAATCGCCGTCAGTGTCTGTGTAGTTAGCGCTCTTGAACACCGTCGATTTTACCATCGATCCCGCGAACTGTAAACATTCTGATGATTCTGTATATAGCCTCTAAAATCAATAACGTGGTAAAAGTTGTTTCTGTATATTTTTCAAGTCAATAATTTGATATTAATAGTTCAACCATAAAAATTTTCTATTCAATTTCATCCAAACAACATAGCGTTTTTCTAGATAATTCTTTCGAAATAGCAGTCGCGGTTTGCACTGGTGCATATACCGGGTCACTTGATTGGTCAGCCTCTGTAGCCATTTGAGAGAAGTGTTTTCATTGGCTGATTGGATTTTGGCGCAATTGACCAGTTGATAAACAGAAAAATGGCCCGAGACGAAGTATGCGATAGTCCAGTGGAATGACAAATTTACCAGTGTGGTAAATTTGGATAACGTAAAATTGCCGAGAAAACCAATTCATCAGTACATGGAAGGTGAATTCATCACAGCACTATTTGGGAAGAAGCCCTACAGGGCCAGGATTTCTGAAATATCAGGTATGTAGATCTAGCCTGTTTTGTAGGCCGATCGAAAATCCGACTCAAAATTTGAAAATATATTCGAATACGGGAGGGCATGATGCGATACTAGGATGCTTATTGTTAGACACAGGAAAATTTTCATGTATTTTGAAATTACGAGGAAAGTCCGCAAATTATCACATTTTATATGACCAAAAGACAGGCAAAAATTCACCTGCTGCAGACGAAAGTGTGCCATGTTTTATTCTGTAGAAACGGTGGGTAAAACCAGAGGATTTTATTATGCCCCAGGTTTTACCCAGCGTTTCTACAGAAATTAATGTTTTATATACATGTGCCGTTGTGTCGACGAAATCTCGTTATTATATATTCGTTTAAATAAAAAATGAATAAAACTTATACTATATTTACAGGGACGTGCTAAATTTCTTTCACGTTTTTTTTTTAGTTCCTTGCATCAGTTTGCAACTTCGTTTAAAAGCATTTTCCTGACATTTTAATGGATGGATTTTGACAATTGTTGGCTTATTGGTACAATATTTGAATTAATTTCTGTTGTGTACTTTTGGAGTTAAAGAACTTGAGAGGTATATTAGAATTATATCCACACTGTTAATTTACGGTTGAGGTGACACACCGATTTTTCTACTTTTATCACAGTTTAATGTTTATGGCACAATTTTCATTTTGACACTCATTTTCAGATGACAGATCAGTCTTGATGGTGAAGAAGGGGAAAAATGGAGTTTTTCCTTTGAAATTTCCCTACGAGGAAAACATGAATCCAGAACTGGCAGCTGAAGCAGTAGTAAATTTAAGCCAAGAAGCAGATTCAGATACTACTAGGAACAACACTTTTATTGGTATGAACAGAAGTTTATCTATAGTACTCAAACTTTTTTTATAAGGCCAAAATAAAATATATGTGTGTTCTGGTCACTGTTTTCCTTAACCTACCTGGATTTTTCATACCTACCTGAAACATTTTATGGACAATTTCAAATTAGCACTGTTCTGTTGAAGTCAAGGCCCATATATAACAGGAAATGCACTTAATTGTTTTGGCCTAAAGGCAATTAAGACATGCAAATATGTTTTACATATCACGATTAAGAGATAAGTATTTTGGACCTAATTAAATTTACCTAAACATTGATTCTAAATACTAAGTTAAGCATTAATACTGAAGTTATGTTGTGAAGATTTAAATTTACTTTCAGTTGCTAGTTGTAAATGGGCTATAGCAATTTGTTGTATTTGCAATCTAGTCTGAAACATTATGCTATTAGCAAGTGTTAATTTCTGTCAACCACAAAAAAAAACTTTAAATGTGTCATGATGTATTAAAACACTCGCTTTTTAACAGACAAAGAAAGAGATACATGTAGATTAACAAATGAAGGAATGGACATCCAGCCGGTGGTCATTGAAGAAATGGAAGTTCAGTTGGCGGTCATTGAAGAACGAGACACCATCACCACTCAGGAGGAAATGAACACCCAGCCGATTAGAAAGGAGCAAGACCAAGGTGAGTCCAAATCATACTGATTTTTTTGCCCCCACCATGAAATAGATTTTAATGTACAGATAAAAGTCAAGTTTCTATTTTGACAGAGGATGTGAAGGACCAGAATATAAGAGCTATCAGAAATTTCAAAAGATGGCATGACGTCGCACATAGCTTACACCCGGGTCTCCAAAGGCAGGGCTCAAGATTAACATTTGCCTGACTTATCCGTCCAGGTGATTTTGTGGTCGGACAAGTGTTTTTTACTGTGTACTTGTCCGATGGGACAAGTAGATTTGTAAATGAAATTGTCCGTTTCTCAAAATGATAATGAAAATGTGGATTAATTTTATTATATTTTTCTAAATTCAATTGTAAATGTTGACTTCCAAAGTAATATTACATCTTATACCTAAAATTTGGCTCTGTGCCCACAGGTAATCATAACTTCTCGTAATATCACAAAACCACTCTTAATATAACACATGTGCTAATATTATAAAACATGTGCTAGTATCATTTAAAAGTCGTAATGATTACGAGCAAATCGAGTAGAATCAGAGAAATGTATCTCCTAGTGTCATAACCCATATATTTGCTACTGTCTCTTCACTTGAGGTTGTTGAACAAAGCTTGATTTCTGTGTTTATACAATTACCTTTTGTAATCTTTTTCTAAATATTCGTCTATTTTGATATTTGAAAGAAATACTTCCGACAGTTTACAAGTGTTTGGACAAGTTAGATCTGATAGTAACTTGTGCGACTAGACAAGTGAAAATTGTGCTTAATGTTGACCCCTGAAAGGTACATCTACAGTATTGGCGACCAATATAAACCATAACAGAGACCTAATACAACTGACATTCATAGGTATTTGACAAACTCCTATAGTACACAATTTATGTTGTGGTGTCCAATTTATATAACAGGAAATAAACACTGGGACCTTAGGTAGAGTGTTGCTGAATACAGCCAGTCTAGACCCTTCTATTGGACAGCAGATTGAACGTGAGGGTTGTTTTTAACACCGCAACCCAAAGTTTGGTTTCAATCAGACAAATCTGGTTGAATCAATGATGAACTACATAATGTAACGTAATGGAGAGACAGCTGGAGTATTTTTTATTCTGATGGTTGAATGTCAGATTATTTTTGTATTTACAGGTGAAGAACAGCATTCAAACTTAAAGAAAGACATTTCCAATTTGCGTCCTAGGTAAATATTATTACTTGTCAAACATATAAATAAACAAATAAAACTTGATAACAAACTTTCTAGCATCCTCAAGGAAAGTTTATTTTATATATATAATATCTGTTAAACCATAAATTATTTATTTAATAAAATGTTATCAGTGATCTGCAGAACTTAGACTAGAGGCCCAATATTTTTAAGGCTTATTAACTGTCTGATTAATTTACCCGCATAGGTATTTGGTTTTAAATCTTATATTTTGTATGTTTTTTAATTTTCATATTTTTCAGTGGCAGTCGAAGGCTGGAGAAGAGGGTTGACCATCTGGAAAGGGAGGTGAAAGACTTAAGGTCCTCCCTTAAGTCTTTGAAGAGGAAATTTTCTGAACTTTCTGGAACATGTCAAAACAGTAATCCTGCTACTACAGAGGGTAGTTCCTCCAGCACTACACTGACCTCAACAGCTTCGTCCTCCACATTGACAGTGGACAACTTACTGAAATCTGTGGGTCATATTGGGAACTTGGAAAAAGAAATCAACGAGTGTATGAGGAGAATTACTCTCACAGTTTTTTCAAGACAGGACCTTGTGTCCTGTTCTAGGACTGGAAAAAAAACATTCCACTCCCCTGGGAAAGCAAGGCCCCCACTTGATCCAGAAAGAGTGAAGCTGGTGGAGCAGGTTCTGCTACTGAAATGCTCCATCAGCAGGAACACTTTCAAAAAAAAGTTTGACAATCTTGTGAAGATGGAACGTCGGTCAAGTAAAACTTGCAGTGATCCAATAGTTTAGTGCCTGACTGTCATCATGTTGTTCTGTTTTTCTGATCGGCCTTTCATTTGTTTGGATTATTTGATACAAACTTTTTTGTAGAGATTCCCCAACATTTTTTGAGTATATTGGTTTTTGTTTCAAGGTTTCTTTAAATAGTATTTTTGTTCTGTCAAATATCTTGACTTGCATACATTATTTTTGTATTGATCATCAATGATGCATTTGGCATGTAGATTCAACATCTAGTGTCTAATTACTTTGTATTATACAAATGTACATGTAACACTTATATAAAATTCTGATATTGATATGTTGCAGTTGTTAAAACTACTTTTAAGGAATGTTCAAGAACAGTTCTTGAATTGTTCTTAGAATAAAGTTCAAGAACTGTTCTCGACTGTTTGAGACTTAAAACTGTTCTTGAATAAATCAAGAACTGTTCTTGAATTGTTCTTAGAATAAAGTTCAAGAACTGTTCTTGATTGTTTGAGACTATTGTTCTTGAATAAATCAAGAACTGTTCTTGAATTGTTCTTAGAATAAAGTTCAAGAACTGTTCTTGATTGTTTGAGACTATTGTTCTTGAATAAATCAAGAACTGTTCTTGAATTGTTCTTAGAATAAAGTTCAAGAACTGTTCTTGATTGTTTGAGACTATTGTTCTTGAATAAATCAAGAACTGTTCTTGAATTGTTCTTAGAATAAAGTTCAAGAACTGTTCTTGATTGTTTGAGACTATTGTTCTTGAATAAATCAAGAACTGTTCTTGAATTGTTCTTAGAATAAAGTTCAAGAACTGTTCTTGATTGTTTGAGACTATTGTTCTTGAATAAATCAAGAACTGTTCTTGAACAAGAAGTTCAAGAACAGTTTGTCTCGTTTAACGTTCAAGAACAGTTCCTGAACAGTTCTTGAACTGTTTAAGCACGTGACGTCACCAACAAATATGGCTGCGCCCATGGATCAAAACACAGAAGCTGTCAAACACATGATGGAGGCAATGAAATCCATGCAGCAGACAGTCGCGGGACTGCAGACTGCTGTGCTAGGGATTATGAAGACAAGAAATGTCCCCACAGTATCACCGACAACTACAAACACTGCAGTCAACCCTGAGACAGAGCCAGACGAGAAGGAGTATACCCGAGCTACGTCTGCAACAGGTGGGTACAGACTGCCCATATCAGAGTTCGGTATTCCCTCAGAATCAATCCCCCACATAGACAGTATCCCAGAGAAACTTATTTGGGAAGGACAAGACGTCAATCTGGCGCAATTTCTAATGCCGAGACACAAACCCAGGGAGGTTTACGATAGGGACGGCTCGGCTATAAACATTACATTAAATGAAACAGAAGACCCCAGACTTGCAAAATCATTGACTATCAGCAAGTTTATAAACGTTTTCGGGAAGTACAAAAGAACGGTGTACAAGAAAGCCCCCCATGGGAGGATTGAACTGGATAGATATGAAGTCAATATCGTAGAAATTTCTAATGTTTACGGGGGGAAATTCTACGATTACCACTGCCAGTTTTCGGCTAGGGCAGCAGCGGCATTAAATGATAATATAGGCAAGGTGGACTGGGTCCTAAAGGATAATGGTTTACTGGCCATGATCATGGGAAACACTAGGGTGAACTCTTGTCAATTGTGCAATTTGACGTCACACAACACTGCTTTCTGCCCCGAAAAAAGGTACAAAAAGACTTACATTATGGAAATGGAGGCGCACAAATTACAAACCAACAGGGTTATCAAGGCAGGGATACCGATATATTCGACAGACAAAAAGTGAAATGTGTAACAATGTTTAACAACAAAAAGAGAATTGTGTACCAACTTCAATTCGGGGAAATGTTCACGAGGCGATGGTTGTTTCTTCTATCATGCCTGCACGTCTTGTAAATCTACTAGCCATGGGGCAGATTCGTGCAAAGGCGGCAACAATGGATCGCAACCCAATAAATCGGGGACAGGAGTCCAAAACAACACACAACAGAACCAATGACTGATAGAGGACAATTACGTACACGTTAACACACCTGTAAATATAGACCAACTCCGTACAGAACTTGATCTCCACCCAGACAAAATGTTTATAGATTACCTGTGTTAAGGATTGTCCAAAGGTTTTGACACTCTTATATCAAAAACCGAGCTACCAACAAAGGAGTGTAAAAATCTTCAGTCTGCGATAACACAGTCGGATTTGGTGGATAAATTAATTCAAAGCGAAGTGGAGAAGGGAGTTTTACAGGGTCCATTCGAACGTTTACTTTCGATAAATACCGTTTAAGCCCCATAGGCGTAGGTGTGGGAAAATACTCTGGGAAACCACGTCTTATAGTAGATCTGTCCGCCCCACATGAAGATGAATTACACCCAAGTGTAAATTATCTCATAGACAAGGAATCATGTTCTCTGTTCTATGTACGCAAAGATGACGCCATCCAGAAGCTACAGGAGTTGGAGAAAGGTACTATGACTGACAGAGAAATATTGTGACATATCATCTCAATTTATCTGAGAAGTAATAATTAGTTTTAGCTGCACAAGTGTAGGCTAATCAGTACTAGCTGAGCTGTATAGGGGGTCATGCTGTGTGATCAGCTCCCTCTGGCTGAAGGGCTAAAGGGTCAGTAGTGGGATACCCCCACTGGGACCATTAAAATGATAAGCTGAACCTCAGCCGATATAGCGTAGATTTGATTTGTTATTGTTTAACAAATTTAACATACTATTTCTATGTAGCTTCATTCTTTTATACAATAATAGAGAAATAATTACACTAAGCATAATGTGCAGTTTATGGAACTGTTTTGATTATTCAAATCAAGCAAGTAGTTTACCTTTTTTGTTGTTTGTTGTAACAACGTGTATCGGAAGGCTTCGGGATTGATCACACATTTACATAGGAAACACTAGTTGTTGTTGTTGTTGTTGTTGTTGTCGAACAATTGTAAGCTTTTTATCAATTTTTATGCAATAAAGTATTATTATTATAATATTCGTGTTCCCGTTACTGTCTTTAAAGTCCCTATTTGGACTTTGTGAACTTTCTGTGCAATCTAAATAGAGAAAATACACTTTGAAACTTTGAAACTTTTTATTAAACTAAAGGCCCCACATATATTTATGCAACTGGAAGGCAATAATATTGAAAATTACATGAAATTTACTTGAAAATAGACATTACAATTTAGTGTATTTTGATAAACAATGAGAACATATTTGTCATCACTATTCATCAATTCAGCAAAGTTAACAGTATTTGGCACTGTACATGAAGATTCTGGAAGAATTTTTTTTTTTTCAATTTTAGTACGGGCTTCCTTTTCTAGCTATGCCATCGAAATTAATGTGTAATCTACATGCAGCTCATCATTCAGTAAAAAATGCATTGAAAGATTTTAACAGGCAAAATAAACTCAGAACTGCCACTGAGATCGAAAATTGAGTTATCCCGTCAATTTCTTAGTTGAGTATATGAATACAGTGCGAGTCGGCCTTAGTTTCGAGTTAACTAGAACGAGCTGTCGTCAAGTCATTGTTGCATTCCTTTACTTGAAAACTATTCTCAACACAAGTTTAGCTTTACACTCGCTTTCAGACTCCTACCAAATATTTACTCTTTTTGACAGGTACCATTCTCTCACGGCTTACAAAAACAGATATTTTGACCATTCAGTGTGGAACTCATTTCATTCCTTACTGGAAAGGAGAGAAAAGAAGGAATTTTGACTGTTATGAAGTTTGTCGATTGCAATTAATTTGAGCTATGGGTTCACCCTCATGCCTAATCTGGATCCAGCCAAAAGTCTGTGGAACTCAACGAAACTCCTCAGTATCGCTAGGGTAATATTTTCAATTAATTTGAGCCATGGGTTCACCCTCATGCCTCATCTGGATCCAGCCAAAAGTCTGTGGAACTCAACGAAACTCCTCAGTATCGCTAGGGTAATATTTTCAATTAATTTGAGCCATGGGTTCACCCTCATGCCTCATCTGGATCCAGCCAAAAGTCTGTGGAACTCAACGAAACTCCTCAGTATCGCTAGGGTAATATTTTCAATTAATTTGAGCCATGGGTTCACCCTCATGCCTCATCTGGATCCAGCCAAAAGTCTGTGGAACTCAACGAAACTCCTCAGTATCGCTAGGGTAATATTTTCAATTAATTTGAGCCATGGGTTCACCCTCATACCTCATCTGGATCGATATCCATCTCTTAGTTCCAGAGAAGAAGACGCTTAAAGCAGTATAGCCAATTTACCCCCTTTTTGCCCCGCCCCTCAGCCCCCTGGGGGGTCAGCCCTATCATTCGTACAATTTTGAATCCCCACCACCTAGGGATGCTCCCAGTCAAATATGGTTGATATCCACTTTTTAGTTCCAGAAGAGAAGTCGCTTAAAGCAATACAGCCAAATTGACCCCTTTTGGCCCCGCCCCTCAGCCCCCTGGGGGGTCAGCCCCATCAATTGTACAATTTTGAATCCCCACAACCTAGGGATGCTTCCAGTCAAATTTAGTTGAATTCCAATCAGTGGCTAAGAAGAAGTTGTTTAAAGAAATTGTTGCGTACGGACAGACAGACGACGGACGCAACGGTATGGCATAAGCTCACCTTGGTCCTTCAGACCAAGTGAGCTAAAGGAGGAGGACAAAGCGATACAGTTTTCCCTGTACCTAGCAGGCAAAGCAGAAAACTGGTACTACTCACTAACAGAGGAGGTACAAAACAATTTTGAAACTCTTATTATCGAGTTTAAGGACAGGTTTGTTCCAAGTGCAATATCGAGGCCGAGACTGGTAAAGGAGTTTCTGGAGGGTCGGCAAGGCAAAGATGAAGTCCGCACATATATAGAGAAGGTCCAAACCCTAGGAAACGATTTAGGCAGAGGTCCACAGGAAGTCCAGGACATTGTCCTAAATTGATTGAATGAGGAGGTAAAGCGTTTCATTCTGGGGAAAGAGCCACAGTCTCTGCAGGACATTATAAAATATGGTTATATGTGGGAGTCAGTGAAGGGCAACAATACAGTGGACTTAGCCAGCTAAGTCGTTGAACTCCAACGAGAATTAAAAGAACTGAAAGAGACAAGCACCTTAAATTCTGTGAGAACTGGAGACAGACGGAAAAGGTCAGATGGTCAGAGGAACTTTGAACGTGGCAAAGGAGAACCGTGCAGGCATTGTGGTGAGCACCGACGTCTTGCATACGATTGTAGGTTCAAAAATGCAAAATGTTTTGGATGTAATAAATCAGGCCATATAAACTCATTGCCCCCTGTTGACGCATTTGGGCGTCAGTCTTACCCATCACTGTATCCCGACAGCGGCGGCCATGATGGATTTCCCGAGAGTCGCTTAAAAGTGACAATTACGATAGGTCTAAAATACTTGCTACGGTGGTTTTGATTGGTTGAATCTTTGTAAGAAACTAACACAGGAGGTAGGTATAGAACTTTCCATTCGTTATATAGGTCACATGACACATATTTCCCGTGAATATCAAAGGAATTTACTATGAAAGTTACTCATATGGAACGCTGTCAACAAGCATGGCTGGGGCGGTTTTCAATTTTGATACCAGTTCGGACGAAGCGGATTTAGAAGGTTTTACAGCCGACGATGTTGCGAGAGCCATTCAAAGGGGAGAAGATAATGAAGATGCTTTATCGGACATCAGTTTTAGCGATTCTTCTTCTTCTGAAAGCGAAAGTTCGTCGAGAAGCAGTGACGATGACGACGAGATTTTACCGTGGTCAGAAAATTTGACGACGGTTTCAGTACCTGCTTTTACCGATGCTGTGGGGCCAACAACAATCTTGGGTGCGGAAAAAAACGAGATGGACTTTCTTTCATTGATATTTTTCCCTGCTGGCTGTTCAAACAAATTTGTATGCGGAACAGCAAACGGAAAATAGGCTGAACCCTAATTGGACGCCGACAACCGTAGAAGAAATAAAAGCGTTTTTGGGGATTCGTATATACATGAGCATAGTACAGCTGCCATCAATGGATATGTATTGGTCCACAGACTATATGTTTGGGAATTTATTTATTCCCAACATCATGCCAAGGGACAGATTTGATAAACTGTTACAGTATTTTCATGCGAATGATTCTACTAAAAACCAACCCCGCGACAATCCTCGACACGACCGCCTTCACCACAAACGTCCAATCATGGATATTGTAAAGAAAAAATGTGTTGACGAATATCAGCCTCATCAAAACACCAGCGTTGATGAGGCTTTGATTGCATTCCGGGGCCGCCTGGGGTTTCGGCAATACCTACCTGCCAAACCTACAAAATACGGGGTCAAGGTGTGGATGAGTGCCGACTCTGAAAATGGGTTCGCAAATGAGTTTGACGTCTACACGGGGAAAAAGGGAGATGAAACCAATGCCAGATATGGATTGACAACACGAGTGGTACTAAATTTGACAAGAAGCATTGCGAACAAAAATCACATTGTGAACTTGGACAATTATTTTACAAGCTTCCAGCTATTTGAAATCTTGAAAAGACAGAGTACATATGCACGGGGTACAGCACAATCAAACCGAAAGGAATTCCCAGCTAGGCTTCTTCACCCCAAGTGTGTAAAAAATCAAGGGGATGTCAAAATTGTTCAGAGGGGGAAGATGGTGGCTTATGCCTGGAAGAAAAAGGAAGTGATCTACTTTCTGTCAACAGCAGATGACCCAACAGAAGTTGGGGCTCAAGTACCGGGGCGCCAGAAAGATGGGACACAGCGACAGGTGCAAAGCCCCAGTGTTGTGTAGCGGTACAACCTGAAGATGAATGGTGTTGACAAGGCTGATCGGACAAGGACAGAGTACCCCACATACAGGATGTGTAAGAGGTGGTGGACGTACATTTTCCACTTTCTCCTGGACTTGTCTATTGCCAACGCCTTCATTCTTATGAAGGAATCCGCTAACCACCACTTGACGACAAAGACAGGCAGAGATAAGGACAGGTCTCTTCTATCCTTTTGAATGAATCTTGCAAAACTTTTGCTTGGAACATTCAGAGCAACAAGAAAGAGGAGGCGTGTGTCAAATCTTGATCCAAATGGAGTTGGACATTGGCCAAAGGAGTGTGCTAAAAGAGGGAGATGTCGTCAATGTTCTAAAGACAAAAATCGATCTGATGGAAGTGGGAGTGTTCTGCCTGTGGGGCTCACCTGTGTGTGGTTTGTTTTGAACCATAGTGCATAAAATTTTGAGTGGAAAAACACTCATTTGTGGTTGAAAATAAGTTGTATATAAGTTATAAACAAGAATACAGTGACAAAACATTTGTGAAAAAAAAACTTGGCATGAAATTTTTATCAACTCCACTAGATGTAATACAGATAACAATAAATTCCAAGTAAGTAGATATTTTATTTTATTGTAACTTGAAAATAACGTGTCATACTAACAATTTTTGTTCTTTACTCAATTACAAAATAACAACACAAAAGTATGTTATAACCATTTTAAAATATGAGGTGTAAATAACACTCCCGGCAGCAATATTGGTTCAGGGAGCAGCTGCTGTAGCAACCAATGAGGCTACAGGGAGCCAGTCAGAAAATGGCTGCAGGGGGCAATGAGTTAACATGGCGAGCCGTAGGTCGAGAACCACAACCAGAACCGCAATCTGATTAAAATCATATGTTACATGGCTTCGTTAACTTCGTACTACGCCTGAACATCTGAGTGTGCCGCGGTCAGGGTCACGTTCAGGTGACCTTTATATCTATAAATACTCGTTAAATTTTTACCAATCAGAGATCCTCTTTCAAAAGGGCGCACGGAGTTGTAACAAATATGGTGGACATTGATGAGAATGATGCGAAAGTTCTGAAGTTATTTGAGATTGATCGTCTGAAACCCGAACAGATATTCGAAGCTTTATTAGAGAAGAAAGACTGTATGGCGGTGTTGCCTAAGCAATTTTTACCCAATGGGTGCGTTTTCCTTGGCGTCGTAGAAACGTCAGTTCCCGCCGCCATATTTGTTTTTGAAAACTAATCTGTTCGATACCCTCGCTATTTATCCATCAACCATGATATTCCGATTTGCTGGCAAACTTTTGCCAGCGCGCCTCTGATTGGTTAATCTAAAGGTCACTTGAACGTGACCCTAACCACGACACATTCAGATGTTCAGGCGGAGCCATGTAACAGATGATTTTAATCAGATTGCCAGAACCGTCCCGTGGGATAATTCCAACCCAAACAACTGGACAATCATACAGGAATACAATCAACAGGAATTACAAAAGCCACGCTTAAAACTATGTATCTTGAAAATGTGGGAAGGCGGCGTGAAAGTGGGGTTGTACGAGGCTGCCCAGTTCGGGGACTAGTGAATTCGAACCAGGAAGTGATTAGTTCAGACAATGACAATAGTGGCTTAACACCTATGCCCGTGTCGGACGTCAACACCACGACAAGTGCTAGTACATCCGAAAATTGTACGGAACTACTTCGATGTGCCGAGGCTCTGTCAACCGCATCACCCATCACCACACCGGAAGTGGGTATGCGGACGTCAAAAAACATGGCCACACCTAGTGTGAATGTTGTGGAGGGACTCCTTTTGTCAATGTAGGGTATGCAAAAAACAATGATGGACCTGCCGCAGACTGTTATCGCTCTCGTCTCCAACAGCAATAAGGAACGTCAACCCACAGACGTACACACGGAGAAATCATACGCGGTGACCAACACACACGCTGCGGCTGCCACGAGCTCTACAGGAAAATCAGGTAACTACTTTGATTCTTTATCTGATGGCATCTCGTCCGAGAGCATCCCTCACTTGGACATTGTGTCTGACAATAACAAAAAGAAAATCCTCGAGGGGAGATACATCAATCTGGCCTCCCTGTTAATTCCTAAATACGAGACTGAAGATAAACAGCCTGGCATTAATGTCCACATTAATGATCAAGTTGAGGACCCCAGGTTGAATAAACATTTGACCATTTCGGAATTTGTGACGGCTTTTGGGAAATTTAAAAGGGTCATGTGCGAAAAATTCCCGATGCATCGATCCGAGATGGACAGTTACGAAGCAAACATCACTGAGATTGCCAACGTATACGGCCAGAGGTTTTATGATTACCATTGTCAATTTGCGTTAAAAGCAGCTACTGCTCTGAGGGACAGACGACAAAGGGTAACCCAAAGTGAGGACAGTAACATTAACCCCTGTCAATGACAAGTGGCAACAACTCCGGTCAATATTGAACGACTGAGCTATGAACTGACCGGTCATCCGGACCGTGAGTTTTTGAACTATTTATGCGATGGACTGACTCATGGATTTGATACTATGGTGGTAGGATCTACTCTTCCCATTAAAGAATGTAGAAACCTAATGTCGGCTTTTAACGACAAAAACACTGTCGACAATCTTATTCTAAGTGAGACTAAAAAAGGATTTTTACAAGGACCCTTTAATATATTACCATTCTCAACATATAGAGTCAGTCCAATAGGGGTGTCATCTGGGAAGTACTCTGGTAAACCCCTTTTGATAGTGGACCTATCTTCACCATACGACAATGACGAACACCCGAGTGTCAAAGACCTAATAGATAAGGAGGATTGTTCCCTGTGTTATGTGCGCATAGACGATGCTATCAAATTGATACAAACATTAGGAAAGAATAATTCAATGTGTAAAATAGATATTTCGGACGCTTTCAAATTACTGCCCATTCATCCATCACAGTGGCATCTGTTCGAGGTTGGCTTTATTGTACTGCTGTTCTAAATAAAACAAAATTGAAGTTAAAGTTCCTGTTTTTTACCTATCAATAATAAATTTTAAAATTGGTAACATAATGGACACTCAGCTATATTACTATCATAATACACCTAAGTTTGGCCTGTTTTAATTAGCAAGTTTTCCACATTGGAAGTGGGATTCCTGATTTAATTGCTTACCGGTTCACATATGATTATTTTAACATGTTTATTCAGTTATATTTTGACAATTTTACAGCGCAGACCTACAGAAGGTGATCTTGGGCCTGTATTGGATTCCAAGACGACATATGTTTATTCGGGATTACCAAAAAAATTGTTTGTACACAACATTTACCAGTCGACCTCCGCTACCATATTTGGTTTGGTGTACAGTATGTCACATGACCTGGTTGACCAATGGTCATTCAGCCTATAGGGATAGCCCTATTGATAACGTCTTCAGTCAGTTGAAAGCAGTCTCAGCATCAGCACTGTCTGTTTTTGTTTCTTAAATCTTTAACACTTTTCCGCCAGTTTAACATACATCACTAATTTCTTACGAGGTTCAAGTTTTTATTCTACATACGCTAGGCTGTTGTGTTTATGTAGCGTTTGACCACATGCTTTTGTTGACATTTTTCAAGTGTCATTATATTGTGTCAGGGACATCCTTGATCATTGGAACAAGGATTACATGGATTTTCTGTGATTTTTTCTGTTCTTGGGAACCGGCCCAGCGCAGCAACAGGTAGCGTCGCCCAATTGGAAACACCAGCTACAAACGCAACGAGGACAACATTCGGATATGCTGCCAACACCCTGCCCCTCGTGGAAACTGTTTCTCAGCCACTTCGGAATTGTAGTTTAAGGTATTAAATNCGTGACGTCACCAACAAATATGGCTGCGCCCATGGATCAAAACACAGAAGCTGTCAAACACATGATGGAGGCAATGAAATCCATGCAGCAGACAGTCGCGGGACTGCAGACTGCTGTGCTAGGGATTATGAAGACAAGAAATGTCCCCACAGTATCACCGACAACTACAAACACTGCAGTCAACCCTGAGACAGAGCCAGACGAGAAGGAGTATACCCGAGCTACGTCTGCAACAGGTGGGTACAGACTGCCCATATCAGAGTTCGGTATTCCCTCAGAATCAATCCCCCACATAGACAGTATCCCAGAGAAACTTATTTGGGAAGGACAAGACGTCAATCTGGCGCAATTTCTAATGCCGAGACACAAACCCAGGGAGGTTTACGATAGGGACGGCTCGGCTATAAACATTACATTAAATGAAACAGAAGACCCCAGACTTGCAAAATCATTGACTATCAGCAAGTTTATAAACGTTTTCGGGAAGTACAAAAGAACGGTGTACAAGAAAGCCCCCCATGGGAGGATTGAACTGGATAGATATGAAGTCAATATCGTAGAAATTTCTAATGTTTACGGGGGGAAATTCTACGATTACCACTGCCAGTTTTCGGCTAGGGCAGCAGCGGCATTAAATGATAATATAGGCAAGGTGGACTGGGTCCTAAAGGATAATGGTTTACTGGCCATGATCATGGGAAACACTAGGGTGAACTCTTGTCAATTGTGCAATTTGACGTCACACAACACTGCTTTCTGCCCCGAAAAAAGGTACAAAAAGACTTACATTATGGAAATGGAGGCGCACAAATTACAAACCAACAGGGTTATCAAGGCAGGGATACCGATATATTCGACAGACAAAAAGTGAAATGTGTAACAATGTTTAACAACAAAAAGAGAATTGTGTACCAACTTCAATTCGGGGAAATGTTCACGAGGCGATGGTTGTTTCTTCTATCATGCCTGCACGTCTTGTAAATCTACTAGCCATGGGGCAGATTCGTGCAAAGGCGGCAACAATGGATCGCAACCCAATAAATCGGGGACAGGAGTCCAAAACAACACACAACAGAACCAATGACTGATAGAGGACAATTACGTACACGTTAACACACCTGTAAATATAGACCAACTCCGTACAGAACTTGATCTCCACCCAGACAAAATGTTTATAGATTACCTGTGTTAAGGATTGTCCAAAGGTTTTGACACTCTTATATCAAAAACCGAGCTACCAACAAAGGAGTGTAAAAATCTTCAGTCTGCGATAACACAGTCGGATTTGGTGGATAAATTAATTCAAAGCGAAGTGGAGAAGGGAGTTTTACAGGGTCCATTCGAACGTTTACTTTCGATAAATACCGTTTAAGCCCCATAGGCGTAGGTGTGGGAAAATACTCTGGGAAACCACGTCTTATAGTAGATCTGTCCGCCCCACATGAAGATGAATTACACCCAAGTGTAAATTATCTCATAGACAAGGAATCATGTTCTCTGTTCTATGTACGCAAAGATGACGCCATCCAGAAGCTACAGGAGTTGGAGAAAGGTACTATGACTGACAGAGAAATATTGTGACATATCATCTCAATTTATCTGAGAAGTAATAATTAGTTTTAGCTGCACAAGTGTAGGCTAATCAGTACTAGCTGAGCTGTATAGGGGGTCATGCTGTGTGAT